GGGAAAGAGAATTTATCGAACCCATCAGTGCATCATTCTCCGGGTTTAATGTGATTTCTGGAAACATATCAAAGACAAAGTCTTTTACCGGGAAAAAGATACTTACTTTCCATCGACAAAGGGAACGCCCTTTCGTTTGCCAGGAAGGTCACCTTGCAAACCGGGGATGATTTCGGTCATTTGTTGCACAATTCTATAATCCTCGCTGTAACTCTCGTAGCATCGACCCCATCTTGGATCTCTACAGACCTGCGAAAATTCCCGTTACAGAAACAGGGATTTCTTGTTAAGTTTTTTTCAATGGATATCAATTTACAAACTTGGCATAACTCACTGTACTCACAGCAATACACGGAGCAAATGCATATGGGATTCCTGTTGCTCTAACTTCTAGAGCAGTTGCTTCCCCAATCCTCTTGAGAAGCATAGGGTCCCTATGGTCAACAAGACATGACAAAGAGATCGGTAAGAATACAAAGGTTGTCTCTTTCTCACGACTTGCGAGCTGAAATGGATTTTGATTTCGAGTTTCTATTTAAAACACTTGCCTGGTGACTCCAAGTCCTACATTGTGGGGGAAAATGGTGGCATTGTACACATTGTTGTGGCCATGAACCGCATCAATCCCGTAAATCATCGGTATCCCTAAACGGGTAGATAGCGCTCCTTTCTGGATCTCATTCACCATGTTCACCCAAGTTTCAGGACTCGCCTTTGGAGCAGGAACACTTCCTCCACCACTCAACACACTCCCTACAGATAAATCCGACAAACATTATATTCATATGGATCGGAGAGAAACAAACAAACAACAAAGACAAAGATTCTTGTGTTCTTGTCTTACCGACGAAGTACTTCTTCATCGCTTCGGGCGTTGCGACACTGCGTTCGATCTGAACCATTTGCCCGATCTTCTCTTCGAGGGTCATACGTTTCATCAGATCCTTAATCCTAGCTCCCAAGGGCTGCTTCAGGTCCTTGTACTTGGCATACTTCAATGGATCCTCAGCTGCCACGGCACAACATAGTAGTAGAAACCCTAACGTCTTTAACAAGTAACTCAAAGTCCCCATCTTCTTCCTCCTCTCCGTTAGGGCACAGCACCTACAGATAATCACCAGTAAGATGACTTTGAACCCGTGATTACACGACAGATACATTTATCCGACTCAAAATGAAAGAAAGGTTTTTTTTTTTTTAACAAAAGCTTCATATAAGAATATGGAAATAAGAAGCTAAATGATTCAGAAAACTGTAGAAAACAACGGAAAAAACAATATATTATAGGGAAATTCTTGTCAGCATATGAAATCCTGCAAGATTTGTCGGAAAGTTCGTGAAACAGACAGACAGGATTCTCAGTTCAGTGCTTGGTGCAAATCCATTTTCCAATCAAAGACCGAACATTTGGTATGCAACAATCAGAAGAGGGGAAGATAAAAGAGTTGGGATCAAAGGAATCGATCCATTGTAAATCGAGAACAGAGAGAGATCAGGACAAGTTAACTGTCTTTACAAGAAAATCTCAGGTGACATCCATAGAAGAGAAAACAGTTGGTCGAAACAAGAACAGGACCGAATCCCACCGGTTCGAAACTAAGTCAGAAACAATTGAGGAGACAGGAACAATAAAGATCCATTCTTTCAGGAACCCATTTGAAAGAGAAGAAAAAAGGAGGAGGAAGAAACTTTGCCCAGATGGCATTTCAAAGAAAAAAGCTTGAGAAAGGAGATCGTGATTCACAATGAAGAAGAAGAAGAAACTTTACCCAGAAACTAGATCGTGCTGAAACTCACAAAACGGTAAAATAACTCAGATGAAGAAATGAGACTGACTATCATCAGATTGCGATCGAAGAAGAAGAAGAAGAGGCGAGGAACCTTACAAGTTACAACGTTCGAATGGCCAGGGAGAAAGAAAAGGTTCGATATTTTTCTTTGATTTTATAGAAAGACGCTCTTTTATTCAAAGGGTATTGGTACACTCTTCCCTCGAGGAGGGGAGAGAGAGAGAGAGAGAGAGAGAGAGAGAGAGAGAGAGAGAGAGAGAGAGAGAGAGGGGGATTGGGGACTGAGCTTCGGCTTCAGACTGCACGTGCAGGACACGCAGTAGCTCTTGTCCTTTTCTTTCCTTTTGAAATATCTTTCTCCCCAATTTCGATTTGTTTTCTTTTTCTTTTTATTTTTCTAATTTAAACAACTTGTAATAAAGTTTTTTTTCCTAAATTAATCATTTTGTGATTGTAGATTCACAGTAAATTAACATTAAATTTAAACGTAGTTATCTACAAACTATTAGCATGTACACCAATTACAACACACCTTTTCCGCCTTTGCAGATAATGTCTACTAGAAAAAATGAACCCACACTCACATGAATGATATTATAAATATTGATATTTTGAATTTTTACATCATTAGCCCCAAATTATTAATTCTTTTTCTTTAATGACTATGAAAACGATATAACGTTTTTTTAATATAAAAACCTGACTCTTAAAACGTTACAATGATTTTTGTCTTGGGTGTGAAATCATGGCAACGGTCCACCAATCCATCATGACTTTGAAATTTAAAATCACATCTTTGACTAAATTTTTTTTTTCTCTAATAATACATTTGTAGGGGGAAAAAGGAAAGAAATCGCAAACATATATATACACATTCGCATGCCCATCATGACAAATATATATATACACACACATTCGCATGCCCAACATTACTATATATATATGTGTGTGTGTGTGGAAAATTCAAAGAAAGATAACAAATTAATTCACAATAATAATGAATTTTACACTGGATTTGTTTATTATATTTCTTTTTTTACTTTTGAGTCCTCAAAACTTTGGATAATCCGAAATAATCTCACAAACAATGAGACTAAATATCCTCAATATTCTCCAATATACATGTTTGATAGAAACTATATGCTATTTAAATGTTGGATATGCATATTTAAATTTATATTTTGTTGAATACATGAAATAAGGGGAAATTGACATTATCTTTGATTATTGGGTGCATTTTTTGTTAGCTTTTTATTATTCGAATTATACAAATTTTATTATTTGATTATACGTTTTTCCAAGTTATAACAAAACATGTGGACCAGGCTTTTGTGGACTTTTTTGGGCTCGTGTAAGGCCCAATGTCCATAAATTGTCCAGACAACGCAATAAATGAGCTCATAATTGGGGAAAATTTTGAAAAAACTAAAAGACGATATTCAATATTGGAAAAAAATATATATATTGGATGAACGAATTATCAAATTTTATTTGTTTCGAGTTCTTCTTTTTTTTTTCATTTTATAAAAAAAACTATATAGTTAAAATATAATTGAACGGGAAGAGGGTATAGATTTGAAATAGAAATATTTTAATACATATGTGTCATGGGATGATCGGACATGTCAAATATTTTAACCAAAATCAAAGGTTGTAAATGACTTAATAAGAAAGCTCCCAACAAGAAAAATTCTTTTTTCTCTTATTATCCATTATTTTAAAAAAAATAATAGTTACAAAATAATTGCTTTTACGAATATATGTAAAAAAAATAAAATTTGGATCCTTAATTAACTGGTCTGAAAACATTCACATTTCTGAACTTTGTTTTGTACTTAACTAAACTTACAAGTTTTATTTATTTTTTTTAAAAAAAAAAAACTGGCTTTTTTAGGTGCCAAAATATTTAAGAAAAAGTTGTATTTTTTTTTTGGATATAGAAAAGGTTATATTATTGCATCAATATATATGCGTGCTTATATATATACATATACACACACACGCAATCTTAACAGTGTTTGCCCAACAACCAAAAGAGATACTTTAAATCAAACTCAATCCAAAGAAATGAAAGGATCACCAAAATCTCCAAGACAAAGAAAACTCAAAACCAAAGGAAATCACATAAATCCTTCTTTCCTTTAAATATACTCCTTTCCTCTTCATCTATAAAACAGTAAGAGACCCTTCCTCTGATATCTCAACATCAAAAAAAAAAAAATCGAATCTTTTATATAAAACAGAAATGTCCAATCTTAGAACCGATCGGATTTACCAAGACTTTGATCCGATAACCGGATGGACCTCTGAACCGGGCGTTGAGATCCTCGTCGTCCATCTCCCAGGTTCGAAATCACATTACGAGATTGAATCTTTTAAGACAGAACACGAGAGTTATGTTTTCGTGTTTTTTTTGAACTTAGGATTCCATAAAGAACAGCTCAAAGTGGCAGTAACTCCGACCAGGAAGCTAAGACTGACCGGAGAACGTCCGGCCGGCGGCAATAGATGGATCCGTTTCCGACAAGAAATCCCACTTCCCACTGACGTAGACGCTGACTCCATCTCCGCAATGTTCAAAGACGGCAAACTCTATGTCCGAAACCCGAAAACCAACGACGAAAAACCCGAAACCGAGGCATTAACGCCGCCTAATCCGCCCGTGCCAAGAACCCGCGATCCGCCCGAGGCGAAACGTGATGATCACAGTTTGAAATCAATTGCGGATAACCAAAGGGTTGAACCCGGTTTAGTGAAAAAATGGTCAGGGAAATATGAGGGGATGGTGAAGGAAGTAAAGAACAAAAGGCATATGATGTGTAATTTGGTTGGGGTGTTTATGTTGGTTTTACTGATCTTACTGTATGCTAAAAATGCAGTAAATTCTTCGCACGTGGGGAAATTCGACTAATGAATAAGATGCACGTGCCGAAATAGAACAACCACGATGGTTAATTACCATGTACGGATCATCATGCAGTTTCTACTTTCTATCGGTTTGTGTATTTTCGTATCAATGAATTGTGAATGTTACTTAAATGTGTATAAAATTCCATTTCTATGGTTGGTACCGTCCATTTATAAGATGGAATCTTCACCATTGATCTGGTTCATACATTTTGGACCGTTGATTTATGAGATGCGATCTAAACCGTTGATTTCTTAAAAAAGAAGTCTTGATGAAATTACATTTATACCCCTGCGATCGGCGACCGGTTCTTTTCTTCCACTTCTCGGATTTTAATTCCGATTCGAAATTCTCCGCAAAAATTTCCATTTCCACGCCCAAAACCCTAGAAATTCTCCCTATATCCCGTTTTCCGGAATCCAGATGCATTTTCCCATCAGATTGTCTTCCCATGGTATCCTTCCTGTTTAATCTCTGAATTCGCCGTGAATTCCGAGGCCGATGTCTCCCACAAGTCGATCAGCGAGCCCGGACGCGGCTCCATCGCCGACGAGCTCGAGGTCGGTGACCCAGACGGTGAACGGATCGCACCAGTTCGTGATCCAAAGCTACAGTTTGGCTAAGGGGATGGGATTTGGGAAGTACATCGCGAGTGATAACTTCTCCGTCGGAGGCTACCAGTGGGCGATTTTCTTCTACCCAGACGGTAAGAACCAGGAGGACAACTCCACCTACGTCTCCGTCTTCATCGTTCTCGCCAGCGAAGGCACCGAAGTCAGGGCTCTTTTCGAGCTTTCTCTCGTAGATCAAAGTGGCAAAGGGAAGCACAAGGTTCTTAGCCACTTCGAACGCTCGCTCGACTCCGGTCCTTACACGCTCAAATACCGGGGAAGCATGTGGTACGATATCGCTCTGTTCTGTTCATTTTCATGATGGGAATTCTAGTTTTGTAATTTTAGCCGACGATTCAAGTTCATCATATGGAAACTCTGGAATTCTGAATGCGGGTGATAGTTATCAATGCATTTTCATGGTGGTAGCATAAAAATTCGTTATTCGTTCGTTTCGTAGCTGTTGTATGCGAGCTTTTCTCGAATTTGTTTCCTAGGTTTCCGAAATTGAACATGTTGGATAGTTTCCTGTTTAGGTAAAACTATTTTCTATTAGGGTATCAAGTGTCTTGTACCCATGATTAATACTTTCTATTAGAGTTCAGCATTAAATGATTACTATTTGGTGGGAATTTCTAGGTGTCAACTCTCTGTCAATGGCAAGAGATGTTTCATGCGGAGGTTTTGAATTAGATCAGAGATGGATGAATGCATTTTTACTCATCTCTTTGGTGATCAGCTTACTAGTATTCTTCAAAGTCATGCATAATATCAGCCATTTCTAAAAGAAGTTTTATCTAGAAGAATGTGCGTTGAACATTAAGGTTGGTAGTTAGTTTCTAAGGCCTTTAAGCTAAGCGAACGGGCTGAATGTGTTAGGGGAACCTTTGTAACTGGAAATTTTGCTTCCAATTCCCAAGGAGAAGCCGTTCACCAGCCTGACTTGTAGGGATGTTACAATAGATTTTGATTTGACTGCCTCTTCTTGCCTCAGTTTACCCATCGTCTTTTAGTTTAAATTTGACTAATGAGTCTATGCACCTGTTTCAATGGCACTGCCTGTTTTTACTCGGTGTTTTGATCAGGGGATGCAAGCGTTTCTTCAGACGTTCCATGCTCGAGACATCTGACTACCTTAAGGATGATTGCTTGAAAATCAATTGTAAGATTGGAGTTGTGATTTCTGAAACACATTGCCCACGATTCCGCGCCATTCATGTCCCAGCTTCCGAGCTCGGATTACACTTTGGAATGTTACTGGATAATATGGAAGGCTCTGATGTAACCCTTGATGTAGCTGGTGAGAAGTTTCAAGCTCATAAATTAGTATTAGCTGCTCAGTCCCCATATTTCAAGTCTAAATTTTTCAATGGTCCGGAAGCTGACAATGAAGTCGTCACGATTAATGATTTGGAACCTAAGGTTTTCAAGGTACAAAGTACAACACTATTGTCCGTACCATTCTTTATCCTTTATTTATTCGTTGGATGTTCCTTTTTTCAGGCCTTACTACACTTCATGTACAAGGATTCTCTTCCAGAAGATGTAGAGCCTGTGTTGACTCAGTCATTCGACTCGCTAGAGTTGTCTGAAATATCCGAGACATTGGTGGCAAAGCTTATGGCAGCTGCTGACATATACAAACTGGATAGGCTGAGATTAATGTGCGAATCTCACATCTGCAAGGGTTTATCTATCAACTCCGTTGCCAAGATCCTAGTAATAGCTGACAGATATAATGCCGTTGAGCTGAAAGGTGTTTGCCTGAGATTCGCCGCTGAAAACCTGGCAGGTAAGCTTCCGCGTCAATGTCTTGAAAAATCTCCATCACTTTTTCGCATACCATAGGAGTCATATGAATAAGATCCCGCCTCATGCATAATAGTGTCCATGTCTCCATAGTATATATCTCAGTTTTAGCCCTCTCGTCTCTGTACAATGGGGTGGACTCGGTTGTGTACTCAAGTTTTCGGGCGTCGAGTATCCGAGCTTTTTGTGTATCCGGACTCAGCCTCGTCCACTCGAGCTTCTTGGTCAGACTCTCCCCACTCTCGGCCTCATGAGGGTCGAGTGCTCGAGTTTTTGATACCAGGGGATGCAGTGAGACTCGGGTATCTTTGGGATACCCGGCCAGCAAGGCGGAGAGAGCCAAGGGCGAGAGAGAATAGAGACATACCTTGGAGCAAGGCACGGCTGGGACAAATCAGAGGCGAGCGTCTGATTATTAAACCCTGCCCGAACACCTCTCTCAGTAAAAAAAACAGAGGAAAAAAACTCTTTAAGATGCCGTTCTCGCCCCTCGTGCTGTGCTCAATGCTACGCCCTTCAAAACCCTAACTGCCCACCGCCTCGCTCTCACCCCCCTTGCTGGTCGCCCTCTCTCCCCCGCTTTTCCCTGGCTCGGGATGTCGGCCAATACCAGATTTCTGCGGGAACCAGACTGTACTCGACCCGAGATTTCGGATAACTGGCTTGTTATTTCGGGCCTCCGGGCCCACCCCAGCTGTACATGTCGTACAGCTGCTTAGTTTCTTGCCTCAGTATGTAATTGTAAATGATCTCTATAGAAATCGCTTATGATTGAGCGGCCTTTGCAGCTGTGTTGGAGACAGAGGCATACGAATACGTGAAAGAGGATTGCCCGAAGCTGCAGACGGAGCTTCTGAGGGCGGTAGCGGGTTTCGAGGACGCCACCTGCAGTGGCGGAAAGTCTACGAGCGTATGGGCTCAGCTCTCCGAAGGGGGAGGAGAGAGCATCAGCCGCCGGGTTAGGCAACGCACCTCATAGACTCACTGACTCCTTTTAATCATATTTTTGCCCCCTTTTTTTTCACTTAAATTGTTAACCACGCAGTTGATTATGCTATTATGCGCTGAGAATATAGCTTCTCTTTATACTTTGTGTATATATGTATGTATCTTCGTCGGGTGATTCGCTCGAATCAGAACCCTTTTAGTTTCATAATAGATAAAGATAAAGTTTTATAAAAATACGTATTAAATATAAAGTGTGGAAAAAAAATACGTGATCTTTGTATTTATCAAACAAATGTATTGTTTTTTATCAAATATTAAATAAATATATTAATTTTTAAAATAATATTAAACCACCACGCAGCCAACCAACCACTAATCGTTGATCTACAATACTCGTTTTTTGGTTATTTCATTATCTCTTGAGGTTTTATATTAAAAGCGAATCTATTTATTTTGGTATATTTATTTGATAAATTAAAACTTGGGAGATGCTTTTGTGGGATATGATGAGTAATATTGGTGTCCAATCAGAATGATGCATTCGTCATCATAGTGATAGTTTTGGATCTCAATTCATGATTTTATAATTTGGAAACGCTTGAAGAAGGGGGCAAGAGGGAGAGCAGAGAAAGCCACGACGAAGGGATCAACCAATGGTAAAGTCGCACCCGTCCAACTCAAAACTATAAGTAACAAATATTTGTGTGCGTATATATAGCCATATAGGCATACAGACAGAGAAATCCGCGTCGAGACGAAAGCCATGGGGAAGGAGACAGAAGAGGAGCGAGTGTGGTGCGGTCACTGCTGCGTCCATAGCCGACTCCTCCCTCAAGCCAACGACCGCTCTGTCAAGTACGTTTGTTTTTACCCCTTTCTTCTTCATTCCCCCACAAATAATATATGTGTGTATTGAAAGGGCATGTGAAGGGTGCGGCAAAGTGTTAGCAGACGAGAGTGGCACAGCAGAGGAATACACTCTCCTCTTCCAACTCTCCCAAGGCCAATTCCCCTTCACGAGAGACCATCACACCACTACCATTCGTCATCCATGATCAATCTCTCTCTCTCTCTCTCTCTCTCTCTTTTTTTGTTTCAATTTGCAATTTTTTTTTATTCTTTTTATAGAATATCTATAAGACTTCTCCATATGAAATAGAGAGAAAAAAAAGACACCCATCGAATTTGTGTCTTAACAAGGGGCATAAAGCTCATGAATACTTCTTTTTTAAAAAACCAAATCATATGACTTTGTCCAACAATGGAACTCAGACTTTGATATTCTCTTTTGGTCTCAAATCTATTACTCTCTCTCAGACAGACAGACCAATCCAACCATGAAGAAAGACGATTAGGGTTTCGCAGGAACTGCAGAATTGCACCATTGTTATGCCTTCACCTTGCTGTTCCCTCCTCTTCTGCTATGCCAAGCCCGGTTTCTGTCACCATTGATCGAGCTCTTATGTGCAGCAACCGAGCATTGGTGGTCAGATCTTCCACCCTTTGCGTTCATCTCCATCTGTAATCTTCTCCGTCTCATCCTGCTCTCAAGTCTCATGCCTTTGAGAGCCCGAGCCCTTCGCTCAACCTCGAGGGCTTCCGTGAAATTCCAGATCCGGACAACGCCTTCTTCGCCCCCACAAACTATCCGGTCAGCCCCCACATCGACAGAGAATAAGTTCGATCCAAACCCGTGAAGCATTCTTTGCGGTGGTTCCACGTTATTCTGATCATTGTAGCTAACCCTAGAAACCCTTTTGGTCAAAGAACGACGACTAGTCCTCAACAGCTTCCTCACATCGATCAGTGCGAGTTTACCATCACCAGATGCGGAAACAAGCCAGGGAAACTCAAAGGCCAGAGAATACACAGGGCCAGTGTGAGGCATCCACTTAGACACGAGAACTACGTTCGTCTCGTTACCTTGTCTCGTGATCTCAAACATTTTGATTCCTCCGTCTTCTCCACCGGTAAACAGATAATCCCCGGTATGGCTTCTCGCCAATGAGTAAGTGTTACCCTCATGAGCACCACGGATAATCACCAGCGGAGTCCCATTGTTAGTATCCCAAATATATACATCTGAACCCGATGTGCTAGCAACGGTGGTCTCGTGAGGTGCGAGGCCCCAAACCCAGTCACTATGCCTCAAAATGTTGATGCACTTCATCGAAGATCGGTCCCATATACGAACAGACATGTCCCATGAACCACTAAAGATCTTTGTCATGTCTAAGGCAAGAGAAGTGATAGGACCCTCATGTTCCCAAAGTCGAAACTCAGTGTTCTCCTTCTGAAAACCTTTCAGGTCAAACAGGTGTGGAACACCCTCCACCGCTCTCCAGCAGTGTATAAAACCATCAGTCCCACCAGCAACCAACAGTTTTGTATCCGCTGCAACTGCCCTAATTGTGCAACCGAGTGGCTTAGACGATGCAATAGACAAGCCTTCCTCCATATCCCACATCCGCACAATGGAATCATATCCCGAAGTGAAGATGAGCTTGGCAGAAGCCAAAAGGAAAACGGTCCGGACGGCCTCAGTGTGACCATACAATGCATCAGAGTTGTATCGTCCTAAAAAGGTTTTACTCCTAAATTCCCTCTCAACAAACAATTCTTTCCATGACTTCTCATCGGTAAATCCCGGAGTTCTTGGGCCAGGAACAACAGGGATTCCCCATCTCTCACGATAGAACTCCTTCCATGCCTGATGCTCCGATGCTAACCTATGCAGAATAGTCGAAACACAAGATACTATACCTAGTTCTTTCGGGTCAAGGCAATCAAGAATCTCAGATAGCAACGCCGAAGGCAGGTCAATGATCGAACGTTGATAACTAGACAAAACTTTCTCACTGGGCAAATGTTTCGAGTCAATAGAGACTGGAAATTCCTTCTTAAGCTGACAACATGGCTTCACTCTCGAAAGCTCAAGAGACCCATTCTCTCTGATGAAACCAGAACCCAACAAATCATTCCTAGTTCCTTGCTCGCACAAACTCTCGCCAAAATTCGCCAATTTGTTTGCAACTTTAACACTCTCCTGGCATTCAAATGCCATGAAATGGCCAAAATCCACCCCTAGATACAGCCCCTAAACCCTACCGCGAAACCCTCTCCACGAACAAACTTTGATCAGATCCCTAAAATTCTACAATCGCAGACTCGAATCCAGCAAATCCTACGGATCGGAAAACAAATCAAGTCAACTCCATGATTACAACCCAAAACTAGCCAAAATGAACAAAGCAAAACGAGGCAAGAAATTCGAAAATGACAGCTAATCGAGATTGACGAGCAACGAGGAAACCCTGGAAAAATCAAAAGGAATAAACCCTAGAAATGGCATCCGGGCATGAACATACCTCTAGGAATCAAGAAGAGGGTCTTCGCAGCAACGAAGAAACTTTTCGCCCAAATTCCGTTGCCCTAATTTCTCTGGGTCCGAATGACGAAGTAGAAGAACCGCCCTCGAAGAAACGCCGATTTTGTTTTCTTTTTCTTTCTTTTATTTTCGTGGAGGCAGACGAGCGGGCGTAGTGATGGTGACGTAAGAACCGTTGGATGGAAAATAATCGGACGGTGGAGATCGTATGTACGGTCATGCTAGATCTGCGGCTTTGTATAAATGGGCCTAGAAAGATGCATATGCGACAATCACATGGAAATTTAAAATTTTAATATGGCTTCTTATGGTTTTAATTATCGAGTCAATTCTGAAATTTGGATAATATAATAAAATTGCACCATTCTCATAATTTTTTGAATTGATATTTGATTGAACAAAATCTAAAATTTTCACTTTTTCAGATAAAGGATGCGGGTTTAATTAATTTTTTCGATTAATTTATATTTTATATTATTTTATAGCTTAAAATATCATTTACATCATTCAAATTATTTGATTCAATTTATTTATAAAGAAAAAAAAAACAAAATATCAGGTCGTCTAATATAAATGGTTTTTAGCATATTTGTTACCTTTTCTTAAATAAAACTTAGCTCTTTTTTCTCCTTTTAATTTTAATAAAATAGCTCTTGTTATTCTCAAATTATTTTTAATTTCTGCTTTATTGGTAATTATAATTCATAATAATTAACTAATTCCCTATTTGTTAGAAAAGTACATAAAATGTGTACCTGTTTTTCCCTGCAAAATTTCATAAACACGATATATGCAATTAAACACCATATTTTCGTCGGACCAAATTAAAAAAAAAAACGAAATTAATTTGTTTTCATGCATTAATACGCAGGAAGCAAACACAATGGTTTTATTCAATAAGATGAGGGCTATAGATGTCCAAAGATTACAAAATAAAAATAAAAATTTAAACATTACACGACATAACAAAATCACGTCAACACAACGTTCCTACAGATTATTTATGGATATATATAAGTTTGAAAAATGCTCTTAGAAGATGAAAATATATGGAAAGAAATCAATTTTTTTTTGAATTATTATGAATCAAATATAAAGATAAATTGCGGAAATTAAGGCAAATGTCGTTAAACTCGGAAGATACTTGAAAGTAGAAACTGTTGTCGCATCGCTTTTGCTGTCTCCGGCCGCGGCAGGGCTGGCCGCAAACCCTTGTGGCGGCTCAACACCTGTCCAAATCGATTTTTTTTAAAAAAAATTGAAATAAATTTTATTTGAATTATTCTATTAGGTAAGTGTTTTAATTGAAAAAAATATTAAAACAACCGTAGTTTTATAAATAAATCTTAATTATTCATAAATCCTAATAGTTACAGGTCTCTTATAATAAATGGCGAGTTTAAGATTTCAGCGATTAAGTAAGGCAAATATTTTAACTAGAAAACATAAAAAATAAGGCAGCAATTTTGTTTAAAAAAATCTAATGAAAGGCTTAAATATTCATATATCCGATAATTTATTAACTTATCCATTTCAATTCTCATTTTAAAAATTGTTTTTATAATGGATATATATATATATATATAAAGCTAAAATTCAACTTAGTTAAATGAATATAAATTAACATAATGGTTAGGAGATGCGATGGAAGGGTTACCCGGGGAGATGGTTGGTGCGATATTCTCATTGGACGAAGGAGCTTCGCTTGTGGTGGGAGCTGCAACTGGAACTCCAAACACTGTATATATTTTATTTTATAAAATAAATAAATAAATATCAGACCTTTTATATTGTTAATTTTATTATGGAAACATGTTTCCCACGAATAATTAATAAATGTGACGATCAATAAATATCAGACCTTTCATATTGATAATATTTTTATAATTGTATTTTTTTTAATTATTGAGACAAAAAACTGCAATTTTCCTAAATAACTTGGTAAGATGTTCTAAAATTTTAACATATATACTAATATTAATGTAAACGATTAATAATTTTTTTATAAGACCTTGCATGTGTGTGTGTATATAAATATACTTACATGAACACAGCGACGGAGGCGGAGTGACGACGCCGCAGACCGACGGGAGCTTCAGGGCCTTAGCCATGTCGATCTTTATTCCGTACTGCTCCGCCGTGTTTCCGCCGAGGAGATAGCACAGGCACTGCGGCGAACTCTCCACCAGTCCGGCGAGCTCCGGACAACACCCGGCGTCTGGCTTCGACGCGCCGCCGCCGCTCCCGGCCATCACGTACGACAGACAGTCCGACATGTTCAG